TCAAATACAGAATACATATATTTTAGAATAATTTTCTTTTTAAAATCAGACTGTGCAATCTCTCCATGAGTTGGTTTTGAAACCCAGTATGGGATTCTGAGATACATTACCAAGGATATTATTACAAGATAAATCATTTGCTTCATTGAACACATACAACAATGCATATTTCCACTGAGATCAGTGACCTTTGATGTGTATCAGCAGTGATCAGTCAAGTAGAAACAGTCAAAATATTTTATCAGATTTTCTCAATTTTTGCATGATATTTTCATACAGGACATCTGTTGTTCAAACTCAGGGAAGACTTTATACTGATGAATAAGGTGACCAAGTTTGATAAAGTTTGGAATAGAATTAGTAAAGTTATTATGCACACAATAACAATTATTAACGACGACGACGACGACGACAACGCCGGACACAATTTTTCCCTTAATATACCTTTCCCTTCCATCTTTGATGGTACGGGCAAGGTAAAAATACAGTGTGTGGTCACTTAGTAGATCAATAACAGGCATGCATACGACAGGGGGTTTACACAATAAGGCATCAATGGTTTGCATGATCTATACAATGCTTTGATCAGATCACTTTACAGTTGTCACGTACACCATCATGATTTGTCCATTCATAGTAGGTACAAGCATAAAGCCAACACTGTAATAATAATATAGAGCATCGGGTATAGCATTAACTACTGACTGACTTTTTTGAGGTCACTGACTTGATACATTTGTAAACTAGATCATTATCTACTTCTGTGATTCATTACACATTCTAAGGGATTCGGTCAATGTACATGTACAATTTTAAAATACAAAAAATTTTATTCACAAATAACTTTTCTAATAGAATCCAATATAAATTTAAATTTATTGATTTCAACACTGTTTAACTTGCTATGACACCTGTGTGTAGAATCAAAAGCAGAATGAATACTAATTGACTGTTCACATAGATATTCAGTTTATAGGCGTTTACAGAGCCATCTATGCATTCAGGTTGGGCATCAAGGTATTTAGGTGATGCATCAAGGTATTTAGGTGATGCATCTAGGTATTCAGGTGATGCATCTAGGTATTCAGGTGATGCATCTAAGTATTCAGGTGATGTATCCAAGTATTCAGGTGCTGCATCCAAGTATTCAGGTGATGCATCTAGGTATTCAGGTGATGCATCTAGGTATTCAGGTGATGCATCTAGGTATTCAGGTGATGCATCTAGGTATTCAGGTGATGCATCTAGATATTCAGGTGATGCATCTAGGTATTCAGGTGATGCATCTAGGTATTCAGGTGATGCATCTAGGTATTCAGGTGATGCATCTAGATATTCAGGTGATGCATCTAGGTATTCAGGTGATGCATCTAGGTATTCAGGTGATGCATCTACAGGGATTGAAATAGAAATTTTTCCCTGCATGCACAGTGTGCATGTTGAATTTGAAATTTACCTGCACTAACTTGTTGTGAAATGCACCATTTTTAAAGTTTAAATAAAATTTACGGGTTCTCGATTGATGCAATCATGAAAGAATTTGATTTTTTTTAGTTGTCTCACAATGTTGGTTGAACTTAATTTAGCTTAATTAGTGAATATAATGAGAAAATGGTGTGTTAATTTCTACATGCACAGCGTGCACATTATATTTTGAGTTTACTTGCACGAGCTAATAATCTAGGTGCATAGTGCAGTGTGC